TCATGAAAGGAGTAGACATTTGCATTTATGTGAAGGTAACTAGATTTTTGACTAACATCTATTTCAACATAGTTGTGCATCCGTGGGAATACAACTCATGTTTTTGTGCCAAATATCCAGACATCTGTCAATTGAAATAAAACTGGGTGTCTTTGTCTTAATAAATAGCAGGCTGTTGTTGCTGGGACATGCCACCCAGAGAAGCCGCGGCAAACGCTACGCGCTTGGCTATTGATAGCTGTTGATCTATGTGACAATAGCAATAATAAGGTTAACCCAACTGGCTCACAAGAGAGCTAAAAAACTCCTGGGACTTACATCTCGTGTTTGGAAACAGGCGGTATCTACCGTTCTCGTATTAGCCAACACACAGAGGGATGTGGAACGAGAGGGTAAAGAGCCAGAAGTGATGAAAAACATACTTCACATCGCCTTTCTGTGAAAAATTGCCTACAGGAGCGTGGTGGTGGGAGAAATGGGCCCAGTAGAGACTCACATGAGTAGCAGCCAGGGGCTTGCCTGGGGGGCAGGGATACAAACCTGCTTGTCTTGGCCTGAACAGATCAGTGCTGGTGAATCCCATTCACAAAAAAAAAAAAAAAAGGGAACACCTAATAATTTAATTAAATGGGTAGCCTGATGTGGGAGTCCTACCATTTCATGGCATCTTTGAAATAGCCATCTTTTCTAGTATCTGAACCATCTGCTAGTCATTAATAACCCCGTGGAAAGCCAGGAATTTCTTTTCCCCCCAAAGACGCATAAGTTTCCATGCTTCCTTGACTCTTCATAGAGCATCCAAGAAAATCTCTCCCATCTACTTGCTAAAAACTATTTTTAGGGAATAGATTTACTGCTGAAGAATGTCAAGTTTTTCCTTCCATGCAGACATCTTCCGCGAGGCCACGGCACCAGTCTGTTCACTTGGGTGGGATAAGCACACATGGACAAGGTTCACCTCCAGGAGTTGTCGCTGAGGTTGCAGCCAAGGGCAACCACCATCTGAGCTCAGCTTTGGCTCCCTTTATAGCCGGTGAAGAGCAACAGTCACTTCTAGAGTGTGAAGCATCTGCCCTACTGTCTCCACCTGTCTCGGGATGAGATGGACCATGGCCCAGTTTCTCCTGATTGTAACGGGAGACTAGCGCAATTAGTTGAATGGATGGTGATACTTCAGCAACCTAATGGTGGACAGGATGGACACCTCCTTTGATCACTTCTGCTGGAGAAGGAGCTATCATAGAATCGTAGAATGGTTTGGGTTGGTTGGGATCTTAAAGATCATCTAATTCAAACTCCCCTGCTATGTCTACTATTACATGACAGGTCTGAAATGGATCAGTGAAAGCTTTGAGTTCACGTGTGCATGAAACTTTATCTATGCTCCTGGATGGCTGGTGGCACAGTGACCTCAAGGCTGGAACAAAACCCTGATGCAAAATAAATACATGAAAATGGACAGAGAGGTACTTACGGGGCTGAGAGCGGATTCATTCAGTCCTTTTCAAAGATACTAAAAATAAGCTCAGACACTAATGGCCTCTTCAACGGTTGGAAAGATATTATCATTAATGGACTTCTATCCTCACTGTCCACCCTCTGCCTAAAATTTGTTTGGTGTCACTGGCCAAAGTCAGACAATATTGCCCAGGCTAATTCTGTCTGAGGGAGTTAATGGGCAGCATGGGCACTCCTCTAGGGATTTCGGGCGGCAGAGCTGTAAAATATTTAGTGAGACAAGGACCGATACTGTTTCTAAACAGTCCAGAGCAACGCATCAAAACCAATTTTTGAAATGTCAGAACTATATCCCCTGCATACCAGTGTATTTTCTGCCCCCCCCCCCATTTTTCTTTTTTTTACAGAAATAACCTTGGGGGAAAAGAAAGGAAAAAAACACGCTGAAATCAGAAGAGGGAGGGTTTGACGGATCTATATAAACCTTGCATTTGTTCTGTTTCAGCTCCTCCTTTTTCTTCCAGAGCTGGAAAATTTCGTTTTTGCCATTCATAATCTTGCAATATGACCTTTGCACAAAACTGGGGAAGGTGTGGGGGAAGGTGGGGATCGCATTTCTGGTAATATCTAGTTGCTTTTATTAGATCATAGGCTAATTCCCAATCTTTGTATTACGCAGCCTTATTTACATTACATTATCATTTCATTTATGGGCCCCTCGGAGCTCTCGATCACTTTGGGGAGCTCTCTAAATTTGCCTTTCATCACGTATTAATGAAGTGTTAATAGCTCACCCAAGCCATTTTTGAGCAAACAGCACGTGATGTGTTTGTTTTGTGCGAACAGCCCATGTGCTTTGCTAATCTGTGACCGGCGGGGACAAGACACACGCCACGTTACTGCTAATTTCTTCTTCCTGCTTTGCTTGCACACCATGTCCCAGCCCTTTGGAGGCCAGCGTGGACCTTCCTGCAGCAAACTGAGCTCCCGAAGCTCTGTGCACCACGTCTGGTGGCAGAGGGCAGGAGAATGAGGTAGAGTCATTGAAAATTGGGTAATTTTTGGAGGCTGGTCCAAGGCAGGAGATCTGCTAGACTTGCACACATCTGGCAGCGGGCTTGCTGGGTGTCCAGCAATCAGGTAGAGCATTGCCTGGAGGAGCAAGGGTGGTGGGTTAGCTCTTGCTGCCCAAGTTGGGAGGGCTGGAGGTCTGAGTCTGTGCCATGCTCTTCAGCGTGCTCAAGGATTTGGGGGTTTTGACTTACCCGTTACTGCCTGTCCTCTAGCAGTTAATTCTGTCAGCGTGTTTGATTCTGGTTATTGATTACTGGTGTGTTCCTCCATCCAGACCGAGCGCAAATTTGTTTGTAAATGACCCTGGTGAATGAATTGAGCTCTGGAAAAAAAGAAGATATGCATCCGTGGGCAAATTCATTCTTCCTTGCTCTTTTTTTTTTTTTCTTTTTGGCAAAATGAGCATGTTCCAAATGCAGGGGGAGAAATCCAACCTTTTTTTTTTCCCACTATGATGGGGTGTTTCATCACCTTTTATTCCCCAGTAGTCAGGAAACAAACATTTTCCATATTCCCTTCCATGTTGCCTTACGCAGTTACCAGTTCAGGTGGGTTAGCTGAAAAGGAGCAAGAGGGTGAGGAAGGAATAAGAAACTATGCAAAAAGTGAAAAAGTGTTACTTTTTCTGTCTTTTTTTTTTTTTTTTTTTTTTTTTTTTTTGTCTTCACCTGACGCCTGACGCCTTCTGCCCTGACCCGGCAGCACTTTGGATTAGTGCTCCCGCAATACAGAGGATAAAATCTGGAACCCTGGGGGATCTGCTCCTGAGCACCGCGCTGACCAAGTACGCTGCTGCAGGATCGGGCTGCAGTGATGGGAAAAGGCACGGTGAGGTACCTTAAAAAACACGTTATTGACGGGTCCTTAATAGCTGCGCCGGGCACGTTGCAGACCTCAGTGCCGGGTGAGAGACAGGGCAACAGGGCTTCTGCAGGAGGTTTTATCCTCCCGAAAACAGCCCTCCTTGAGCAACCCCCAGCGTCCTCTGGCCGCCAAGGCAGCGGGGAGCTGTGGTGGGGATAACGGAGGTTCTTCTTCTGCGTGATGGACCCTGATCACTTTTGAAGGGCTTGGAGAGAAACGCCTTCCCGAGGGGCAGAGCTCCTTGCTAATGCAGCGTTCCCGTTAGCGAGGAAGGACGCCTGCAGCCCCCCCAAAGGCCGGGGGGGAGCTTCTCGCAGCCTCTGCAGCCCTGCCTGGACCGCGCTGTGTCGCAAGACCCATCACGGAGCTCGGCTGAAGGGATGTCGTAACGCTGAAGCAGATTCGAGAAGCACGGTGCCTCCTTCTTTTCATGCACCTCCAATGAATTCTCCAGGATAAGTGACAGGGTGCGACCCTCTTACAGCTGACCTTTTAATAGCAATAAAATCACTCGGAGGTGCACTTTATTTTGATTTATCATTGCACAACATAAAGGGATTATATATCAAAGGAGGCACTAAAAGGATAAGGCTAATAAGAAGAGACCAAAGGAAGATGGGGAATAACTGGGAGATGTTTCAGTGTTATTTTCAGTCAAAAGAGACAGGAAACCATGGCTTATCTTGAATGGCCCTGGGAAGGATTTTTTTTCTCCTTCCCAACAGCTGAAAATGCAGAGATCATGTCAAAATAAACTCGTGTTCAAACAAAAATGTACAGACTATGTAGAATCTATCTCCAATTATTGGAGTACTGGCCATTTTCTGCAGGCTTCAGCTATGTTACTTTTTGTATTTAAATTATTTTCAAAAAGGAGATTCATCCAGAGCCTTCATACATTTTGCTTTTATTTCTTTTTTATTATCAGAGCCTTTTGACCCATTGGCATAGCAAATATCAAAAGTTAGACTGACAAACACTTAAAGATTTTCTTTAAGAGAAGAAGTTATGAAAGGGGAGATCATTGCTCAAGAGCTGCTATTTTATGCCCCTTCCAAACATTGGGAATAAATACGGGGGGGATGTTTTCATGCCCCCGCAAGTGATTTGTACAGAGTTTGGGAGAGATTCCCAGCTGAGGTGGAGCAATTCCCATTGTCTTCGGTATTGCAGCAGGGCTTGAGCACCCCGGTTGTGGCTGGATGCTGCCCAGCGGTACGTGGTCTCTCCAGCGGATCTTGCCATGGAGCACAACCTGGCTCTGCCAGTGTGGGTCGTTGTCCATCTCTTAGCACCAACACATCCCTTGTTGAGCCTTTGGGCACCGTGTGGAGCACCCACAGAGCGCCAGGGAAAGGATGTTAGAAGAAAACGTCAAGGTAAACCCTTAGGTTTGGACTGAAGGGACGCTTGCTGGTGCTCAACGTCTGCACGGTGCTCTCAGAGCAGAGAGAGCGCAGACGTTGAGCCGGACTTGGCGGGCGGAGGTAGCCCAGCAAGTCCCCAGCTTCGCTGCGCGGGGTGGTGGGCCAGGGCCGGGAGCAGAGCTGGTCCTCAAAGTGCACCAGCAAGATCCAGTGTGCTCCGCCAGCCTCCTTCTGCAGGTGAGAGGCTGAAGCAGACAGACAGCAACCGCGGCGTCCGGACCAAGAGCACGCTTGTCAAAAAGTGACACGCATGGCAACCAACATGATTTCTGAATTTGAGTTATGTTTGAATAGGTTCGGTAAAAGATGCTGGGGAAACTTTGGAAATGTCAAAACATGACTTCTTTTTTGCCTTTATGGATTGCTGAAAGTGAGTGTTTTGCATTTTAAAGTGATATTTAAAGAAATCCTCGTTCCATAACAGTCTTTTTGTTACAAAGATTGACTTACGGTAAAAGAAGAAAATTTTTTAAAATATGCCTCAATCATTCTGTATGAAACTAAGGTTTTGGAGTGAGCTTTTTGTCAGTGTTCAGCCAAAAAGCTGCCCAAATTCCCCCTTCCAGTTCTACCTGACCTCCTTTCTCCTCCACTTTTTTTCAGCGGAGCAACAACCGCATCAGGAAAGGTCCACTACCAGGAGGCTAGAACTCAGCTCAACAGCGTGGACATGGGAGATCACCTGGTCCAGCCTCTTCCTTCTACTGTTAAGCCTTAGAAACATTAACATTTCATCAGTTAAGGGGTTTGGGTGGCAGCTCGGACAGTAGCTGTCTAAAAGCAATACTGGCTGCGCGGCAAATCGGCTTTTCAGAGGGTATTTTGAGGGCAGCTGCTGTGGTTAATTCAGGTGCTGGTTGTGCCTGTACGACCATGTAGCCTGACCACTCATGCCACAGCTGGACTGCAGGCCACTGCGCGCCCGGAAAGACGTGAATCCACTGCAAACCGTGAAAAGAAGGAAAACAAGCAGGACTGAGGTCAGAAAACACGAGGAAGAAAGTCTTGTAGGGAATGAAAGGAAATCAATATTTCTAAGGGGGTGGCACGCTACTTCATGGGCTCCTGTCTTTGAGAAATCCACAGACACCTGTAAAGCGGATATTAGCGGGGCACTGGAAGTTCCCCGACGCTGGGATGAGGTAGACAGCAGATAGAGCTGGAGAAAAGGCCCAGATAGGAGCAAGTGAGGTAGAAGGGAGCAAGCACTCGTGGGGCTGTGATGCTCGTTGCAGTCCCAGCGGCAACGGGTACTTCAGCCCATTCCTAAATGAGGACCTTCGTGAAAGACGTTTTGGCTTTGCAATTTTATCCTGTTGGCTAGTTTAGGAGCTGAGTTCCTCGCTGCGTGCTTCTCGCTATGACACTGAGGAGCACTTAATTGCTTATTCCAGCAGTGGAAAATAAAAGGTGACGAGGAAGTGGCTAAGTTCAAAAGGTTGGGCTGGGTTTTCTCCATCAAGCTTAGCTGACTTCGTTTTACGTTAAAGCCAGACTTATCCGAGGTGCCTGCCCAAGGAGGACGGTCCCACGGACAGGGAGATGGCCAGAAGACACAACCAGCCACCAGCCCACCTAAGACCTCAATCACTTCTTCTCTGTTGGATGTAGAGGAGTGTGAGGGAGTGGGCTGTTCCTCTACACATTTCAGGTGGAAGTCTAAATTTAGGATGGTGAATTTGGCCATCTCTAAGTAGTTTTATGTTCCAAAAAATTAAACCAGGACTGTTTTTCATGCCTTCCCAAGGGTTTTCATGGAGGAGTCTGCTTTTCCCTATTTGATCATAGAAAATATGAAAAATATCCTTGGACCTGGATCACCCTCTTGCACGGGTTCACGGCTAGAGCCAGAGCTTGTGCCAGCACAGATGGCTTTGTTAGACATGTGAGGGGAATAAATAATAATAATTAAAAAAAAGACAAGAAGAAAAGTACATTTCAAGAGTCATCAGCCCTCCAACTTTGAAGTGCCAGGGCATGTTTGCTGCAGTCATTTCTCAAGGTCCCCACAGACTTGCTGAGAGGAAGAAAGCCGTGTTTAGAAAAGCTGCCAGACGACAAGACCTGGGGTGTAGGACACCGAGCAACCAGACGGTGCTTTGCTTGCTCAAAGTGCACCTGCAGGCAGGAGAGCGGGGATGGGCTCCGTGTGTGTGTCTGTGAGTGCCAGGGGAGAGCAGGAAGGGGTGGAAGAGTCTCCTAAATGCTTATAAATACCTGAAAATCCATCTTGTGGCTGCTGCTCTTAAACGTGTGCATATTTTTATATATATACATATATTTCTATGTGAAGGTAAAACTTTTTCAGCTGTGGGCTGTGAGCAACCCGCTGAGCTCATACAGCTTGGTGTGCCTGCATGCCGTGTAGGTGTGAAGCCCTGAGCTTCCCAAAGCCGTGGGCATGCAGGAGACCTTCCTTGGTCCTGTCTCACCACATGCTGGAGGTGGCTTTTGCTGGTGTGACATCCAGAGGCACGCGAGCACCGGGGAGGGAGCCTGAGGATGTGGAGGAGAGGCGGAGCGATGCCCGTGCGCAGCATCCTCTTTTCCCAACTATTCGCCCCAAAGCAGAGCTGGCCCAAGCAAGGACGTACACTGTGAACAGAAGAGGACCGCAGGTCTGGTGCAGAACATGTCCCGAATGACAGGCAAAACACTCTGAACGTCTAACCTCCTACAGCTGCTGTTTTAGGCTCCTGGACCAAAACCCAAGCATCCTGAGATCCACCAGCTAACATCGAACTCGGGGGGTTATATTTACACAGGTGAAAAAAACCTGCTGTATCTTGGTGTCACCCATTTGTTGGGCTCTGAAGGTCTCAGTGACAAGCCGGTGACATCCTCAGGGTAGTTGCACCCTTAGGCCACCCTTGGGACCCGCTCCTTGACTGTTGTCAAGGTTTGGTGTACTTTCTTCCTGCCCCAGGGATGCTTATCCTGGGCAGTATAAATACAAAAGCTTTTCAGGTATAGGAAGAGGTAACTCCTGACTGACCCTTACTGATCTCTTTGCTCCAGTGTCTCCTGCCATGAGCTTGTCTGTGGCTGGTTGATGGCCACATGCTGACGTGGACTGCCACGTGCTGGATTTGGACATCGAACTCATTGATGCTCATCAAGCATCTTCTGAAGTGGTCTGAAAATCAGAAACTCCAGATTATTGCTGCTGTTGAACCTTTTGCTCCCATTTATAAACAAGCCCCATCCTACAGACAAGATTACACACGGGAAACCAAAACAAGCCAGTTCTTCCGCAAATACTAGAGCAATTCTGAAATGCAGCAAACCCCGAGTATCAGTCCCACCCTGGTGTGAAGAAGAGCCTGTTCACCTCCAGTGATGAGAGACCTGGCCAGCCATTCCCAAATGCTCTTTGATCCTTGGAGTCTGAAATCAGCCCCTTTTAAAAACCTCTTTATTATGGGGGCGTGGGAGCAGCTTTAACTAAAAATGCCATGACTTGGACAGCAAATAACGAGATACTATGAGAAGAAAACTCATCTCAGAAGAAGTCACGCCAGTGAGTGAGTGGCACAGGGCCTTCGAGTCATGGCCTTTTCATTATTTATTGCCCAACTGTGTGATTTCAGGCCAAACATTTAACCTCAGCGCACGACTAGTCCTGCTTGTAAAATGGAGGTATTTTCTCTGTGGAGATTTCTAAGGGGAAACACAGCACGGGTATGAAGCGCAGCTATTGCCAGCAACAGCAAAGTCCTTGTTTTTTTACACATTTCATTCGCAAATCCGCTTTAGTCCATTTTTTCATTAAAATCTGGGACTACAGATTATGTGGAGGAAGATTTGTAGAAGTGATTTCACGAACACCTTTCTGGCTGCACCGCGGGGTGTATCCGCACAACCTTCCACCAGCCTGTGACCTGCTGTGGTTTATCAACCCGCTGCCTTGATGGTCTCTGTGCCGTTGATGAGCAGTCCTGCTCGTTAAGGATGCTCTTCTGCCTGGCTTGTCGCGCTCCAGCTTCAAATTCAGGTCTTGGGGGTTTTGGAGCTCAGATTGATGGTGGACGATGAGGTCTGGTTGTGTAAAACTCCTGGGGGACACGAGTATCTCCCTCACGGAGAATAACAGCGTAACGATGAGCTGGCGGAGCCCTCTCAGCTCCTGCTCTCGGAGGCAGAAGGCAAAGCCGTCGCCTGGTCCCGCTGGCTGCGATGATTTGGCTGGTGACTTCCCCTGCCCGAGACACCCCAGGGTAAGAAAACATTTCCTGAGCTTGGGGCTAAAAAACGCCGCTCCGAGACTCGAGAGGTGGACTCGGAGCCGCTCGAGCAGCCTGAGCAACGTGGTGGGCCAGAGTCCAAACTCAGAGCCGTGTTTTAGCTGTGGTTCTGTTTTATTTAATTCAGAGAGTGGGAGATGAGCTGCTCTAAGCCCGAGCATGCTGGGTTGTTAACCACAAGGACACGGCGCTTGCCCTGTTCCCATATTCCTCCCCATCCCTCACCGAGTAAATCCTGACAAGGTTTAGGAAGGCTCCTGTTTTTACAGACTGGAGGAGAAGGAGGTGCTAGGGCTCGTGGTTTACGTAGTGGGCTGGTGGTTGGAGCGGTTTCCCAGGCAGAACCCAAGAAACATCCAAAATCACAACAACTGATGCGACCCCCTCGGCCAGACCGCCGCTGTTTCAGCAGGCTGCGCTCGAGGGAGCTCCTCTCGCCCTGGGAATTTCTCTACAGAGGATGGCCACGTAAAAACGACTGGTCCAAACCAGGACTGTCATGTTTTGACAAAGACCAAGCTTGGCTGCTTCAAGGGGATGCACTAACGACCAGATGATTGTTTAAAGCAGGCCACTCTTTGCCAAAGAGTCACCGCCCCTGCTCGCAGCAGCAGCTCAACTTTCCTATGTTTCGAACCTGCACGTTTCTGGAGGAGAGCTGACGGCATTGGGAGCGTTGGGTTGTGACGCTGGCCTTTCCCCAGCCTGCCGGTGTGGCATCGCCCTGTCCACCCTGCGCGGTGGAGGGATGGGAGGGTGCTGCAGTGGTATTTACCTACCCAGGCTGTCACATCACGTCGCTGCATGGGTGCATACAACCATCTCACGACACACATCACCCAAGCTGAAAAGTCCTGGACGGACCGATATTTCATCTGGGCTGTGTGATGTGCTACGCCAGGCCGTGGCCCTGGTTTTGGCCCCGGGAAGGGCCACCAGTCTGGAGCTGCACCAGGCTGGAGCACTTGCACCTACAGGGATACCCCACCAGAAGGCACATC